ATTCATGAAGCAAAATGTCGATTGTTTGAGCCTCACAATTCGATACATGATGATATATTTGAGCTGTCTTTCCTGGCCAAAAGATCAATTCACTTGCTCGGTTAATGGTATACTTGGCACTAAGGTGATCGCGAGGAAGGTATTTCAGCATTTCTCCTCGGAGCAATGACGGAATCAGAATACGGCTCCCCTTGAACAGCATACCAACATAGACAGGGGTTTCATCCCGAAAATTAAAGTAGGGTGTTAGTTCCTTCGGCAGCTGCTTCTTTGTCTCTAGACACCCATTTAGAATAACGTCTCGAAAAGCTGAAGGCGTTGCATCCTCCTCTGTGTGGCGCCTTATTTCCTTTAGGCGATCTTCTGTCACTGTCAGGTGCGGTACTAAGTTTACTGCTTCGACCTCTTCCGCATTATGCTCGGGTACCGGCAGATGAGTTCTTGACAGCGTATCTGTGATGAACATCTGTGCACCAGACGTACACACAATATCCACGTCGTACTTTTGAAGCGGGATAAGTATACAGTGAAGGTGACGAGGAACGACGTGCAGCGGTTTCCTAACTATTGACACAAGCGGCTTATGGTCGGTATACAAGGTTGTCTTTCTTCCGAAAGTATAATCGTTGAAACGCCCCATGGCATAGACTGCCGCAAGCATCTCATTCTCAACCTGCGCATAGCGTTGCTCGGTCACGGAGAGTGCTCGACTGTGGAAATCAAAAGGTTTTCCATTCTGGAATAGAACAGCACCTACTCCGTCTTGGTTACTGTCACACTGCACCTCCAAACGCTGCGCCGGATGGTAGTACAGGAGGACAATCGCGTTGCTCATGAGATGCTTAATAGTTTCGAATGCGGCTTCCCGTTCTTTTCCCAACTCCACTTTACTCCTTCGTGAGTTAATTTCCTGATCGGCGTCATGATATCTGCGAGTCTTGGCATAAAACGGCTCAAGTAATTCACCAGACCGTTTAAGCGTTGTGTTCCGTTCGCGTCATCTCTAGAATTGCCTTAATCTTTCCTGGATCGATCCTGACCCCTTGTGTTGTTAGCAAATGACCATGGAAGATCACATCGTCTTTGCAAAGTTCACGTTCACGTTTAAGTATTTATGTTCTTTTGCACAAAACGCTGTAAGAAACGGTAGAAATTAGCGTCATGCTCTTCTTCTGTCGAGCCATAGATCAAAACGTCGTCTGCCAGACATGTTACACCATCTAAATCGGCTACTGCTTGCACCAATCGATTTGAAAAATTTCACTTGACACCTTCAAGCCAAACGGTAAACGCAGCTAAGGATAACGCCCAAACGGTGTTGCAAAGGTAGTAAGGAAACTGGATTCATCATCTAGAAGCACGTGCCAAAATGTCGAAGAGGTCTACCTTCGTGGAACACTTAACTTTGGCAAAATGTCTTTTAGGGTAGGTAGCGTAGAATGCTCTCTACGCAAGGCCTCATTCAACGGTTTTGGGTCAATACACACACGTAGCTTGCCCATCTTCTTAGTAACGATTACGCCCTGACTAACCCAGTCGGTTGGCACATTGACTTCGGCAATCACACCCTCTCTCACTTATTTGCTCAATTCAGCGGAGAACCTGTCATGCAGTGCATATGGAACTCTCCTAGCTGGTAGCGCTGTCGATCGTATCAAAGGACAAGTGAGCGGTTCCGCAAACTTTCCCAAACCTGGGCTAAACACAGACGGATACTGGTCACTAATATCGGTTTCTCCCTGGCAAATACACACAAAACGATCATGATTAAAAACAACAAAACTGAGAGACTGGATCGAATCAATGCCAAGAAGCGGCGAGAGCTCCTCTTCCATGATCACATAGTACAGTCGATGTGAAGTCTGGAACCATTCCACATACGCAGGCAATCTTGATCGGATCGAATGCACACTCCGGGACAGTGCTTCCTTGGTAGGATGTTGACAGTAGCACCCTAACTGGAATCGTACGGCTTTGCCTGTTATCAACAGACTTGCGTAGACACATTTTGCGGTACTCTCCGAGGCACTTTGCAAATTGAATGTTTTGCATCTGCGGGGGACTTGTCTCGAATGACCGTACTCACATTGGTTGAATGTCAGCAACGAGCAAAGTGGTTCTTTTTTCCACATCCGGCGCATTTCCGTCCCCACGCTTGACACTGTTCGTGGGTGCTCGGACGTCGCGTGGCGCAAAATTTGCAGATCTCCTGTCTCACGTTAGTAGCCCGCTGCTTCGCATCTGGAAACGGCACATAACTCTGCATCCGTTGCGAGCTTCATTTGTTGGTATTGATGGGTGGTTGAGCACTCAATGTTGCAGATGTCAATGCACTGCTGGAGCGATAAGTTGCGTTGTCACAAAAGCCGCTTTGTCGTACTTTCACCATTGATTTCTAGAACGATCCGATCGCGTATAAGACTGTCGCCCAAGCATCTAAAGAAATTATAGGATCGGGACAAAATCTTCAAATCAGTGATGCACACGTCGACTGATTCGGTTGGGCCTCTGCTGCGCGAAAAGAAAAAATAGCGCTGGTAGGCCTGGTTGGTTTTCCTATCGCAAAAGTTACTGAACTTGCCAATATCCGTCTCCAAATTGTTGGGTTCTTTACCTTTGTCGTAGTGCAATGTCTCTAGAACACGGCGCGCGTCATCCCCGGCTGCGTGTCGAAACATAGCCAAGCGATACGCTATCGGTTGTTCGTCCAAACGTACTAAGGTGTAGAAATCCTCCCACTTGCTCTTCCATAGACGCCAATTACTCGCCAAGTTCCGTTCATCCATGTTCAGTGGGGCAGGCATCTGAATAGACGCTGGTGATCCAAACAGCATCCGCGTGCCGCCGGTGGGGTACGTCTTTGTCTTCTGTGACACCATGTTACAGTCCTTCAGGGACAAGCGTTTATTCGGCAAAGACAGCTCAGCGAAAATTATAGCATGTTAAGCAAGCCAAACTCCTCGATATAAATCGCAGATTCAAGTCCATAACTAACGACCCTTCTGAGTCGACGAGGTTCCTCCTTTGCTTCAGTTAACCAAACGGTGAATCACTCACACAAATATCGGCCAATCCGAGTTCAGTCACCGAATCCGTCACGTCCGCCTCCCATTGGCCGTCCGGTTGGTCCAGCTGCTCACTCTGATTTGATATTATCATCACAGGTATGTCCTTATTTTACTTCAAATTCTAGTTGAATAGTATCGTAGTTAACTTTTCGGCTTTGGATTTTACGAATTACTCGATCCACAAGCGAATTCGTCGCTTACACATTTTGCATAGCGTTCTCGCATGACGTGGGAAACATTGAAAGTTCTAATGGTCACACATTGATACCCGCTTCGGAGTAAGTGCTCATATACAAAGCAGTTGATACTTCCACAATGATGCAGAATGTTCTACTGTCCACTGCCGGCCCGTCGCGTGTTACTTGCAACCCCGAGTCCATGCGACACTCCCAGCATAACCCTATCGCGAGTGGTGGTGGTCACGTGACAGTGAAGCGTCCGTGCGGCGCACTGTTGATGCGCGTGTCCGAGGTATCCTATACCACAAGGGGAGAGTCGGATCAACGAACAACGCAGTCTGGTTAGACATGACCAAACTTAGTATACTGCGATGTTTTAACCAGTTGTAGATAATGTCGAAAAGAAACCTATTCAGCTGTTTAGAGTTGATCCGAAATTAAGTGACTAAGATCTCGAAACGTTCAATAACGTCATACTTTAAAGCACCTAGAATTCACCTTATAATGGTCTGATCAACTATACGATTGAGAGGCCTAATCGATCACTCGCGGAAGCTACATCGATCGGACAGTCAGAAGAAACCTGAGCAGGAACTAGTGGCCTTGACGCAATGGAGGAAATGACTGCAGAGTTGATACCCAGAGGGTTTCATGCGCTAAACGAAATGCTGACAGAGATTATTCTCGGTTGGAAGATTATAAAACAAACTGCGTAGCAGAGTACCGGAAATTTAACGCCAGTCCATCGATACCAGTGAGACTGGGTACTGTGTTCGGGTTGAAAACCGAACCATATCAACCCTTTCACAATATCAGCAGTGCTGAGGATAACACGAAAAGCAGCCCGATACCATATCGATCGGGAAATGGTGTTGCAGTCAGCGCCCATACAATCTCCGCACATCGTACGTGAAGGCCAGATCGGATTACCACCGTCGCCGCTGCATTGGTCTACCCGATTGAAAAAACCAGTTGATCGATATCGACTGCGAAAGACACTTCGAGACTGTGGTGTGCACCCACAGGGATGTCCGGAAACTGGTTTACTAATGTTTATTGATCACCTCAGATGTGCTGTTCTGAGCTCGTCGAGACTGCGTTGTGGTAGACGTTTCCACTACTTTTAATCTTCTTGTGTTGCCGAGGGATAAAAATAATAGCGTGAACTATCCCCATGCCCAGTTGGGTTCGAAATGGCAATCCACCCTCCCGAAATAACGATTTACACGAATGGGCCGTTAGGAGCGTTAGTGATTACCATGCTGTTACAAGCTATTTTCCACACCGCAATCTTGTATGGGACAAATTATATCCCGTATAAAACGGATTTTGTTCGGCCTGAAAACGCGGTGCTAAAATCAGAATCGACTGACAAACGCACCGCTCTAATCTGCGCTGCGCGCTCACTTTCCAAATAGATCAAAATTGGAGGAAGGCCGATCCATCTAGCCTACAGTTCACTTGCAGAACTTCTCGTCATGGGCAAATCCTACTGGCAGCTGGAGTTGAAAGGCACCCATGAACAGGAATGCATCCCTAGTCTGAAATAAGGTCTGGTATAACTGTGCGGGAAAACTTAGGACCAAATTGAAATAACCCGTCCTCGGTGGAAGGGAAAGAACAGTACACTGAATGAGACAAGCGTTTAAAAAGGCAAAATAAGAGGGGAGCTCATGGAGTAAAGATACAGATCGTTAACATCAAAGTTATTTTCTCAGTCAGGTGAATAGGGGGGAGAGAGTGGGACTGGATTTCAGTTGTTCAAAAGGCGGGTTCCTTTGAAGCCAAGCTCTATGCATCCTGAAATAAAATGGAAAGTGATAGTAATTGTAAAAACTAATTGGCAGAGAATACTAAATAATGAATAGTGAATAAGATAGCCAAAAAGTTAGGAGTGTAGTTTACAAAAGATTCGCAAAGAAATGCTTCTCTGATTTAATTTCAGTGTAAATATGTGACAATTAATGCTCGAATCATAATCAAAGCCTCCGATGCAAAACAGACAAGCACCGAACAGGTTTGGGTACTATTGAGTAGAGTAGTTTCAAAACCGATTGTTTTAAAGTATACAGCTGATGAAACCGATCAGCCCATGAACGGCGGGTCTGGATTACGTGTCTAGAAAAATGTCGCTAGTAGCCTTTGGCATCGCACAGAAATTATGCAGCTATTGGACGCAGTTATGATAGACGCAGTTACTGCATATTAACGTTAACTGGCCTGAGTACACCGCAAGCCTAACGTAGACAAGTATATGATGTCGTAACCACTCTCTATACACACCCAAGTCTGCGCTCACAACCGCGCCTCGAAGTGATTGGCTTGACAGACGTCCGTCACCCAAATTTTTCCACCGAGCTGAAAGGTTAGGGGACAATTATGAATGATAAATCAGAAAGCAGAACTAGAACAGTCGGTTTCTGCAGCGATTCTATCAAATCGTCAAACAGAGGGGTAGTAGGGAGACTTGAATGGTATAGGCAGAAATTCGTCATATCTTGACTCTTTCAGACAGGCGTCACACGCCCGTGAAAGCACTGTACGCGCGTTTCATCTTTTCGGGAATCGTCAGCAGTGCGCATTAAATCGGACCCTGGTAGGGCTCGAACCCGCAACTCGACTGTTGCCACTCCGTGGTTGAGACCAATGAGCTACGGGGGACGGCAACGACCAGCGTAAATAAGTTACTAGTTGTGATATGGAGCCACTCACTATCCATTGACTTAAATCTTACTGCAGTGCAGAAGACAGGGTAGCCCGCTGGCGGCTTAAGTTTGGTAAGATCAACGTTTGGTGAGGGGACTACCCTGTCCTCTGCACGGCTGTAACGTGTAAGTCAGTGGATAGTGAGCGGCGCTATATCACATCCAGTAACTTGTTTACCACGGTCGTTGTCGTCCCCCGTAGCTCAGTGGTCTCAACTACGGACTGGCAACAGCCGAGTTGCGGGTTTGAACCCTAACAGGGTCCGATGGAATGCGTATTGCTGACAATTCCCGAAAGCATGAAACGCGCGTACAGTGCTTTTCCGGGCGTGTGACGGCTGTCTGAGTGAGTCTATATGTGACGAAGTTCTACCTATACCAAATCGTTAAATGTAGGCTACTTTCTGAGCGCACACTTATATTGCGCAGGATTTTTGACCGTACCATTCGATTTGGAACCAGTTTTAGTTGCCAGCATTATGCACTGAAACGCCTGTTACCACAGTTAAAATGATAAATGCCATAATTAGAAGGAAGAAAAAAACAGCAACCCGTAATATACTGCAGCAATTATACCACTAAAACGAGAAGTGACTCATCTAAGACGACGAAAAGACAAACGGTACCAGTCTGCAGCAATAATGCCACTAAAACGAGAAGTGCCTCTGCTAAAACAACAAAAATGAGAAGCTGTGGTTATTCGCTCTGACGATAGAGTTGATTTACCACCTGAAAATTCAAAACCGCATAATTGCTAGTAAATATTAAGCTGTATCACTGAAAACGGAAGTGCTGTGCTTTGGTGTAAAATATGATCAAGTCCTGTCTGCGCGTGAACTACTGAAAGCCTCATAGGACGTGCAAGTAGACACACTACATACTGCTGGTTCTTTCCAATTCTTAATCGCGACTAAGACTCAAGGACGTTTACGCATATCAGGGAATGGGATTGTATTTGATACACCCGAGTGATTGAATATAGATGAAATTAAAAGTATTTTGTTCGCGACATCCAATATGCGTTGCTCTAACGGTCTGTCTCAGGCTTCAGAGAGCAACAAGGAGACTATGTCCCATCCTCCTTAAATTCCCAGATGAGGCAACAGCTGAACATTTTGCAGCACGAACGGACTTTCAGAGCATTCTGATCAGAAGCGACCGAACGCCACTACAAAGGCGGTTTGCATGTAAGGCGAATCATTCAGACGCTCAGATCTCACACTTATACCAATCGTATTGACAACGATTCGGGTTTTGATAGATCAACAAACACAGTCCCTATCCAAAGATACTCAGTAGAATCGAGTTCATCAACCCATGCACGAAAATTCATTACACGATAATGATGACTCGGTCCGGTCGGAAGATACTGGGCACGGATATTGCGTAACTACGAGTACAAGCCCAAAGAAATTGGCGTCATATCACGTGCCACTTCCACAAACAACGAGCCCGGAAATTAGGTGGCACTAATTAAGAAGAAAACTGCAATGTATGAAACTAAGGATATTGTAAATTCGGATGAAGTTACCCTTGTTGTATAGCACAGAAATTACCCCATGTCCCAAGTGGAACTAGATGCCATCGCAGAGTGAAAAACCCGAGAATACTCCATGGGAATGCCCAATAGCCGCTAACATCTAAATAACCTCCATCAGCATATGAGAAACGTTCATTAAATACGCTGAGAAAACTGTACTTTGTCGCGCGGTAATGATTCTGGCGTCAATGGTAACAAGCCGACCTAGTAGACGCCAACAAAAAATTTGTTACCTACCTCTCTGAACCAGAGATGAGAATATTTTATTTAGAACAACGAAGCTTCTGAAGACACATCTGGAAAAAGGTATGCAGACATATCACTTAAAACCTATACTATCACCCAATGGCAGCCTGTTTTTAGCCTACCCCCACCGCCACTTCCTCAAACGGAACAGTCGCAAATTTTGCCACGCGATCCTTTACTAGGCCAGCATCCGTCTCCACTAACAGGGCCTCCATGCGGCACAGTAGCTGAGGTGTTTTCTACCTCTAGCTAACGTGTATAATGAATGAACAGGGCGTCCGTTTGTTCAAGCACTTCATTCGTCGAAGTCAGTACGGCGTAACACACAACAGCGCGCAGTTGTTTCACAGTCGCACACTACCTACGCCCATGAAGACAGAGGGTGCGATATAAGCACACATCTGTGCATTATAAATATTCGTTCGCTATACCCCAAATTGGATCGACTTGCATGGTTCTTTCAAACTCCCCACATCGTCTGTATCGCTGAAATATGGTGCACATCAGCTAAATGTCCTGGGTTATCAGTCGTTTCGGAAGGAGCAACTACGCAAACGCCGTAGAATGCCTCATCACATACGCTATGGGGTAACATCAATCTCAGCTGACCAGTTAGTCTTCAATGACTTGGACAATTCACACTACGGTTGACGATTCAGCCTACGATCTGTCATGGGGATGTATTTATAGACCTCCTGATGTCGCTCTCCATGAATTGCAAAAGTGGATATTTGTCACTGATGTTACTTCTAGCAATCCAGGAAAGTACAAATTCCTATATAGGTATGTTAATCTACAAAAAAATAAACGGGATGTTGTATAGGCCTACAACAACTAGAGGTCGTGCGGAAATAATCAAATGTGTCTTCACGAATGGTTGGATTCAACATGTTAGGCAGCCTACCAGATTAGGCAGCATCTTTCATACATAGTTTTTACCATGAATATTCTTCTATGCGTTTATGTATTAATTGAAAACCCATTCACATGATGTGATCACAATACAGTGGTCTGCAGTATGAATATCAGGCTACTTGAAAAGTCCAGAGCAATAAGGAAGACAGTACACTGAGCACATCTCATTGATTGGAGCATATATGACAAGCTGCTTAGGAGCGTCTGTTGCGACCGATTCTTCCCAACAGCAGTTCGGTCATTGATGCAAGCGATTTCGCGAAAATTGCTGTCACATATACGGACATACTAGCACCTACGTCAAATGTAAACACACAGGTGCATTTGACCGTCAATACAAACACTCCCAAGCTGAAGAAGTTGACATCACTGTAGTGCAGGAACAAAGGCATCACCACATTAATACACACGAAACCCTACCGAAAGATAAATACCAAACTTAACGGTCTGTCTGGGATTGCCAAGGAAACCCCAGCCATTAGGAATGCAGAGAAAGCCCGTGCACTGATGCACGCTCAACACCCATTCTTCTGGATGTGGGATAAGAGTTTGACGGTGCATCGCACAAACCATTGTTAGCCATGATGGAGTCCTATGGAATCAGGAATCCTCTACTGAGCTTGTTCGACTCATAGCTGAACGACCGAATACAAGGAGTACAACTTGGTCAATATTGTTCTACTTCTAGCAATGACACGAGTGGTATCGTTCAGGACAGTGTATTGGACTCATTGGTTTCCCTCATTTACACAAACAATATACGTGATTACATTAGACACCAGCGCCAACGTACAAATGGTGCACTCATTTGTACCCGGCCATCTGGAGCTATGCTTAAGAAATATATGCGAAGACCTATTATGAAGCGAAAATCTAGGAGGTTGCAGATAAATCTCTGGCACTGTACCACAGATGCAGTATACCAGAAGGATCCATCACTTACTGATACCCCCATCTCAACTGCGTATTCCGTTGAAGACCTATAAATTTGATACTCTAGCACCCTCAACTTCTCAGAAAGCATCCGACATGAAATAAGGAAAGCGAAGCAACTAACAAGCTACATCACTGAGTCATTGTCACTACCTCAAACCTGGTTTGAACCATTCAATCTCATACTGAGACCCAGCATGTTAGATATTCAGCAAGCAGGACAGACAGAATTGCTTTGGAAAACATTCAGCGCTCCTTTACCAAAATGCTCATGGGATGCTCATCAACGCTTACATATGCGGAACGACGTCCTTGCCTCCAGCTCGATCCACTCTGGTTTCGACGGATGAAAAGCAATCTCGCAGTACGATATACTCGCGAGTCTTCTCAAACAGTACGACCGTCGCTTTACATAATGGCTCAACCTATCCCATTCGCAATGGGAAACGTCAACTATTCTTATGGAGTACCAAGCGAAATATGTGCGAAAATTTCTTCTTATTGAGATACGCTCAACTGCGGAATAAAATACCATTGCAACTAAGGACCAAGGAGAGATCTCTTTTAAAAAATTTTCTTTCCATGACAATTGTCAAACTTTTCGGATTACAGCAATCCACGAGTGCACCCATGGAATCCGGCCGCTGTACATATGATCGTTCCACAATAAGTAAAGTGTTCCGCACATAGAGAAGTGAACCCATTTACTATTATTGTTATCATTAGTATTTAGTATTTCATGAAGTTACTTTTGCGAGCCAGCCATTTAAATCGCTGGGTCACATGTGAGGGTGGCGGACCGACATGACTGATTACCGGCTCTGATACACAGAGCGTCTCATGTTCCACCACCGTGCTTACATAACAAGTAAACAAATAGGTATTTTATCTAATAAGCATAACTGCGGAGAATGAGCCGCTTAGTATATCATAACCAGCAATCAGTCAAGGCAGTCCGCCACCGTCACGTGGGACCCGGTGGATTCAGTTGCTGACTCGCAAGAGTGACATGATGTAAAAATAATACCAATTAGGATATATTTATTTCTCATGATGCGAGAAACTGTAGGAGTTACCGTGCTCTTGCATGAGCAGCACGCACATGTGTAATGTTGAAGCAGGTTTTTACTAGTTTTTTTTCTTCAGGCGATTAAAGAACGGTGATGGATTTCAGCACCTGCTTGCGTAGGTCATACTTTACGATCGGCCGGCCGACAAAAATTGAGATCACCGGTGAGTTTCTGAATAGATAGCGATGTCCCTACACTGTGAAACACAAATAACCTATTGCAATTCCACTCTTATTAGACTGATTCCGTTCTGATGCACCCGCAAATGAGTCATACTGGGAATCCATGTTGGGACAAAGAATAGCACAGCACAACAATAACATCCGCTTAATCAAGGTCAACTAGCCTTCCACCAAGCAGCACCTCAACGACTACATAGTGAGGCTTCAAGATGCAGTCCATGATAAAGATGAACAAAAATGCAGAAATGGGACAACTCTGACGAATGACACTTGTTGTCGGAGGCATCCGACAAATCATCGTAGACCCTGACGGCGCTTGTCGTGTTCGAATATAGAGCGGGTATACTGTTCTGATATTGCATGGGAACACCACTCCGCATAAGAACTTCGAACAGAATGCACCGATGGACTGAATCGAACGCACACGTGGAGTCGGCCCGTAGCCTAGAGGTAACGAGCCTGTCTCGTAATCTTGCGGCGCAAATCTGAATCCGCGTAGGGGTGGGCGTCCTCGCGGTATACTCAGCCCGCGTGCGACTGCTGGTGGTCGCACGGCAGCGAAGCGCCGTTATGGCGCACAGCTGACCTATTATTATTATTAATATTATTATTAATTAATCTTGGAATCCAGATATTGTCAGTTTGCGGTATCCATGGCGCTGCTCTAGCACCTGCCATAGAGTGAACGTATGGTATATACAGCCCCGTTCTAGATGGAAACCTGCCTACTCCTCTATAATCTGCAATTCCCCTTCCGCAGTGAGGCGGCCAGTAATTTTGTCACAACTGGCGTTAGACTAATGTCCCTGTCGTTAGTACAGTCAGTGAGACAGCCCCTCTTGTTGTATATCGCCACATTAACTGATCCATTGCAGGTATACGGGATGGTCTCTATCTTCTAAACATGGCCGAACAGGGCCAGTGCTTTGCAGAGGACCTCACTCCCATCCTTAAATATTGCGGGTGTGAGGGAATCCGAACTAGTAGCACCGGAATGATTAAGGGCAGTGACCACGCTTCGGACTGCAGCCTTCGATGGAGCCTCTAAACAAACCGGCCATGGTTCAGCCTGCACCACCTGAGTTGGAATAGGTCCAGAAGCTGGGGGCCGAATGAACTGACTTTGAAAGTGCTCCACCCTGCAACTCATAAGGCCCAAGTTATTGTGAGTCAGGGCACCCGCGCCGTCTCTAATTGTGTAGTTGACGCCTGGTTTTCTGGGAGCGGCTGTGCAGATAAATTGGAAGAGCATTCGATACTTTGCTATAGCTCCCGCCTCCTCCATTTCTTGAACCTGACTGGTCGGCATGTAGGCTCCGCTTTAGTTCGCGCCTAATAGACCGGCTGGTCAAATTCTACTCAGAGTCAGCAAGGAGTTTTCTTCAGGATTCCAACAGGTTCATCGACCTCTCGGATATCCAATGACTTGTGCGTTGGCGACTGATAGTACCACAAGCAGAGGCTCCTGCTTAGTGTCATTAGGAGAAGAGAGCGAACGTTCGGAACGCAGGGCATCTTGGTAGGCTTGCTTGATCGAGGACAGATAACTTCGCAGTTGTCAATCGAGGAAGATGATTGGTACGTCTCCCGGTAAAGGTCATGGATAAACGGCAACGTAGCAAGACATAATCAGAGTCGACGCAAGTACTCCAGAACGAGCGACAAGCCAAGAGAGAACCACCCAACCTGTAACTTATAGCAATGTGATCTATATGGGTCCACTGCTGGCCCCCTGCAAGTGGACGCCAAGTGGCACTTCGCCGCGCACTGTGTCTAAAATCAATGCAACTAATTAACAGCTAGACCAGACAGTCACCGCACATCGAGGAAACCAACAGATGGCTGTTTCGTCCTATTGGGACTCCTCAGTAGCGCGCACCTGATGAATCCTGCTGGATTCGAACCCACGACCTTACTCTTATCACCAAGCGACTTATGCCAATGAGCGACATGGGGGAAAGTGGAGGACCCACAACAATGATTAACTGCGATATAGTGCGTATCATCGTTTACTGACAGGTATGTTGTGAACGTGCAGAAGACAAAGCTGGCCCCAAAAGCGACGATTACCCTTGTAAACCGCCGCCAATCGAGGTGGTATGTAAGCTGTAGAGGCGATTACTGATTAGTAAAAGTCAGTTCATAACATGCATGGCAGTGAAAGATGAGCCGCGCCAAATTGCAGTTAGATGAGTCACGGCGGTCCGCGACCAACATCCGCGGTTCAGTGGCATAAGTCGCTGACTCGTCATGGGTTCAAATCCGACAGGGTTCAGCACATGCGCGCTAGAGATGGGTTCAAATAGGATGAAATGGCCGTCTAGCTGTCTGCCTCAGACAGAACTACATATAAAGCAATCAGCTAGCTGGCAGTTTTGTGAGTTATTCTTCGGGGGTGATATTGTCCTACGTACAACAGTGAAGCACTTGTTTGTCCGCTGTGACAAATGGCATGTGCGCACCAGTGAGCATAAGCAGGCGATAAGGTATGCGACAAGGAGTACGGTAGTGAAAAGCTGTCATATTGAAACAGCACTTCAAATTCATACCCAGTATAGATCCTTGTATAGAATTCGTGTTGACTACCGGAAGTCTACTCGACAAGGACGTAGACCGACGGATAATGCGTGTACAACTATGACACAAAGTTTTGCTGACAGTTAGTGCTGGAGGTTGTTACAGAATTTCGGTACAGCATAAAGGTGTTAACGTCTTTAGCTGGTGAACATGTTTTAAAACGCATTCTGTAAACCGCGGTCGGCGTTTTGGGATCCAATGACGTGCAACGCAGGTTTCTATATGCTCTAGTTTCCCCTGGTCCCTTCACTGACAATTTGCATCGTGAGGCGCCCAACGCCATGTTCGATGACGCCACAACACTGCTCTCAGCCCATATCTTTATGACCAGAGATTCGTGTACTTTTCTATATTATTCTTATACACTGTTTCTGACGTTAATGAGCGAGAGGCATGCGAAAACGGCCTAGAAGACGCTAGTACTACTAGAGGAACAGTTACAAAGCATCAGCAAGTGGAGAACACCATCATTACTAAACTGGTGTTCCCGCCAGATGTGTGCAAGGATATGTAAACAACGGTGGTCAAAAATGAGGTGTTTCATGACCGCTCCAAATGGGCTCTTGACCGATACGTTGATAGTTCACCATCACGGAGACTATGAGCCCAGACGTGTCTGAATTCGGTGTCACAAACTCCTCGGCGCTCTGCTCGTTATAGTAGTGATACAACAAGCTAGACGAGCAAAATGATCGACTAGTCGGAACGGGTGTTGGCTGGCGTAACAATAGTCTCGAAAGAACATTTTGAACCATGAAGATGTGAAGCATATCGAAATAAGCAGCTTGCTTATCAAAGCTCGCACAGTAAACGGGTTTCCCATAGCGAAACGGAATTATCATCCGCTTATCTTAGTGTTACCAAGTGGTCTCTAAGAGAACTTCCACCGAAAAAAGTTATTTTCGAGTAAAAACTTAAAGACGGAGAGCATCGATTGTGCTAAAGTAAACTTGTTGTAACAACATATGGTTTTCTGAGCCGCAATATACCAATTTGAGAAAGAAGTGTATGGTGAATGAATGGCAGCTCGGAGACTGACAACGGCAGCTCACATGCAGAGGCGTGATGTTGTGCGGTAAAGCGGGAAACAACATAACCCGAGAATATTCAATAAAAACAAAAAGAATCATACATACCGGCAGGTTGACCAGAAAGGGATGATTTCGGGGATGAAAGTGTCGTAGACAGCGATCCTTTGGTGGTTCCCGCGTGAACGTAATCCATCTCGGGGTTCAATTCGTTAGCACCCCAAACGGGGCTGTCAGTCCACAAATGTAGGAGACTGTTCGCATGGATACCCAGTTCCTGGAGTGTTTTATTAGTTTCCGTAATTTCAACGCCCTGCGAACAAAGGGAATGCGGAATCACTTCACAATAGGGACAAAAGCAATGACTAGCGGGGTGGCCTCAAGTATGTATAATTCAGGTAATCTCAATTCATCGCTTAGATTCGGTCTAGTTTGGTTGAATACCTATCCGTTGCATTGAAATGCGATGGATAGGAGGTGCCCAGTTTCTATCCTTATAAATGAAACTAAAGAAGATTAAGGAAAAGAACCGCCCACGAAGTTAGGATGCCGCTGTTCATAAGGACTTCTATCCTACACATAGCACCAACGCAAAAGTCAGCGGAGTGTGTGTTGTTTTATAACAAGGCTAGTAATCAAATCATGTCGATCGTTATCGTCTCCCAGTGGGGTCGCGAATGCTCTCTCAATGGAATGCGCACTGATGTTTTCTAAAAGGATGGAACGGCCCTCTAGTGATATACCGTATGAATGACAGCCAACTCAGTAAATGCAGTTACGATGAATTCAGATAATAATGTTTATATACCGTTGCATAAAGAGGAGTAAAAATAAAACATAGGGGGGTGGAAGCATGAACTCTACTAGCTTCGTGAATGCGGTACGCTCGAAAGATGATTCTGCCAATGGAGGGGTTTTGGTGTTTCTTGTCTCAAATCAAACATCCCACCACGACCAGTTTCATCCTTGGTTGGACTCATCAGGTAGAGATAGTCTGAGCTGGGAGTGGAACGATTAACGGCTAATGCCTTGATTATTAGGCCCCTGATATCCGTGAGCAACGCTTGATATAGCGATTAGGAATCCAAAGTCGGGTTTCGAGCAACCACCATGTGGCTGGATTGTGATACACAATCTCTATTGGGACACTGGCCATTCCGATCATCAGCACTGTGTCCGAGGTGGAGGAATTTTGGGGTTGTCCATGACCGGCTTCATCATTGTTTAGGTTCATCAGGTAGAGATGGCCTTGAGCCTGATGAGGCAGGATTTGAAATTCCATCCTAGAAGATGACATGCATCAAGCCAATTCCATATATACATACAGCTTTACCGTTTCACAGGCTGGACACTTCGCAGTGTCGCCTGATTAAGTGCGACATTACTAAACAGTACATCTCGAAACCGCGTGTTAGCAAGCGCATGCGAAGCACATGAGCTAGAGTCATGGGAAACCGCTCAATTTCAACAGAAACTTCGATGCGAGAGCCAAGGAGTAACAAAAAAACTCATTGTTACTCAGGCAACGTTTCAACCACATATGAGAGGGATGCTGCACAGACATCAGTGCGCAGTAGACATGCTTCTGATTCACAGAAAAAACGCTGCGTGCATTGCGGCATCCTGCAGTCTTCAGTAAACGAATATGTCTCTATGTGCCGACACCGCATATATGGTCTTGACTTTGGAAAGCCGTGCGCACTGAACTCTTCAGTGATGTGACCATCAGATAAATCTATAGAGATCAGTGCATCGATGAAGCAGTTTAAGTGACCGCTAAGTGGATACGAGGATTAGCGATCTGTCGGTCCAGTCCTGTAGTGGCACACGGTGCTGAAGAGTGCAGTGCTACGCATCAGCCTATTGAGGAGTGCAGCTATGACAGATGGATTCGCTAGCTGTTTTAAAGCGACAGGCTGAACAAATGAATTCGGCTGATGACAAGGTCTTGGAGAATCGATACTGACTAGGGTTAAAAGGCCAAAAAAAATCGACCGCGTTTCGTCCGAAGAGATGGTTCGGACTAGTGATGAGGTCTAGCTGTCAGTATACACATCGGTAGGAGGAGGACTAAGATTTCAGCAACTCGGAGCAAAGGTGAATTGTGTCGCTTTGCGTTGAATTCCGTAGCCGGTGTAAGCAATTTGGAGGTAATTGAAACTACGCTTCGTGAAGTGGGCAAGGGTGAAGACGCATAAGTATGGATATGAACCACTAATCCGAAAGACAGTCTTATGCAGCTAATGCAGCAGCATATGCTTATTGGCGAAAAGGCAATTCAAAATCAAACAATTCAACAATAACATGCGTTTCGTTACCAGTTGTGCTAATCGCATGGATTCCAACTCGGTAGATGAAAAATGTCAGTAGCACCCGGTTTAGTCGTCGGTGACTTCATTTCCGGCCGCCGAATCACCTTATAGGCCATTCCGTCACCTTGCGCCATTCAAAATCCGGCAAGCAAAATAAGGCACTTGTAGTGTCGCAAAAGGCGATGCTGCAAGGACAAGTAGTCAATTCAAAGACAACTCAGCGAAAATTACAGCACGCTTGAATGGAAGAATGCCTCGATAAAACCAGTGCACGAGTTTCTGTCAACAATGATTTACATGGGCCGCTCAAGTTACGCTTCCGTAGTGGTTCGACAAACGATGTGGAACTCACTGTAACGTACCCTGACTTCAGTTCTTCAGCAGAGTTGTGCAGATGGAATTCTGCACTCGTATCATCCACTGTTCGAATTCTTCGGGTTCGCGTCTCGGCCTCATCACTTTTATCCACGTGTTCACCCCCGACACTCATCACGCATAGCACGTGCCCGAGTCAACACAAAACATCGTGGTATGCAGTAATCTCGGGCAGATAACACCCAATTTTCATTAACTTGTTATATGTGGTTCTAGGGAACAAACTCGACTATCACTAGTATGTACACATCTGTGCAGTACAAAACTGCGGACACGCCGATGCCTTCCGACACCAGGCCTCTTTCACAGACAGTGGAAGAGCTTGGATAGCTATCCGCTCTTCCCATTTCTTTATCCGCCTACATAGAATGTGTGGGTTTCGTGATTTGCATCTCCTTCATAGTGTTGCGTGCACCTTTTACTGCTTTTTAGCAGCAGCTAGAAACAGTGGTGCTATCGTCGTCTAGTTTCACAGCTTAATCCACGGATGCATGATGCTGATTTATCTGTGGGGTAAAGATGATGATGATTATTAGGCGGGGCAGTGAAAGCTGCAAGGAGCATGAGTTGTCGGCATCATACTCGCACGACAGTCAGCTGGTTAATGTGTGGAGGGCAACGTATGTCTTGACTTTGATTATCTGCTTCAGTCATCTAAATCCTATACTAGATTTCCAGTCTTGCTGTGTTATTATTTCTAATTCCATAGGTCATTGTGGTTGTACGCCAGCAAAGCATCAATTCAAATGACTGATGTGCCATTGCTGATGAGGATGATGATGATCCGCCCACAGCCGAGGAACACAAGAAACGCTAGATGAATGAGGAAAATGAACAATTGGTTCACACAAATCGACGGCGATGGAGCTGCGTGGAACAACTCTCAGTGGGTCTGCCGTGTTTGTGTGTTTCACGAATCCAGTTCAGGCCATCTGGAATGTGGTTGGCAACTGCTGACAGAAAAGAGCAGAACTGAAAAACCCACATTCCTCGGAACTTACCTAAAATACACCCGCGATTAAAGAACAAAAGCCGAAAGCAATGCCGCGGGTTTCCACGCGGAACCGCGATGAAAAATGGTCGAACGCAAGTTCGGGATTTTTCATAAATGGCACAAATACACACCGCTTTGAAAAGTTTAGTCAAAATTTTGCCGAATATTGACACTAGGCATACTAGCCCAACAATTGCGCAGAAGTATCTCAGCACAAACTGGAATCACAAAAAGCGATGGCGTGGTATTCCACCAAGCCAATGATCGGCCAGGCGTGAAGCCATCTGACTTGTTCTCTACAGGTTCGCTGGCTAGAACCCGCATGGGTGTGGGATACCCTGCAGTATTCTTAGCTCTCGCGACTGGTGATGTTCGAGTATCAGTACGACGAATCGAGGTAGTGTGGAGGAACTTTACCAAGAATCGAAGTTGAGATTTCTCCAGGGAGCCGATTCGAACGGGGTTAAGCACCAGCTGAACGTCGAAATAGAGTTGCCACGGTCAAACGTAGTGAGATAGACGATGTACACAAGAAAACAGACTGGCAAACTATTGCGTCCGAAGGTATGCACACAGCACACACAAATCTCATGTGTCTCGAAAATGTGGCACACTTTCCGCAAGGTTGCGAAACAACCAGTTCACAAGAAACGTACGTTCACTGTTTTTCGAGTGTACGAAGGCTGACCAAGTAAGCTTAGTTGTAGCGATTCCCCGTCGAAGTAAAGGAGACATCATTACACTTCAATGGAAGCGGTAAATACCAAAACGGAGCCGAAGATCTGACGGAATGGAGGGACGAACACATTAGTCAAATGGGAGCAGAGTTAGACTGAAAGGTGGGGGCGCGGGGTGTAAATACTATCTAAAAACGTCCGAGGTACACGAACAAAGGTCGGAGAGTTTGGATGGTAGAAAAGCTAAGCAGGTGTGCTAAGGATACCTTGGTTCACCAAATACCCCAAAAGTAGTGAAATAGGGTGGACTGATTTTCGGAGTTTACATTGCCACAATAACAATGATTAAGAAAAGTAGACGCCAGGATAGGACGAGAAATACTAGCACGAAAAAGTTAAAATTAGATAAACTAACTAAGATTCAAGGATTAGCCGTAATAAGGAATGCTTGACTGGGCTTTATCAAAGAGTATCTCTACATGTCGATGTGCTCGCAATAACCTGACATAAACAAAAGTGCAGAAAATGTGACCAAGACAAGGTGCGATACCACTTAGCGAGAACAAAAATATCATCTCGCCGAGAAACGCACTCACATTGAACCAAATATGCTGGTCAGCTGGAGTCACCCCAGTGGATTGCATCAACTGGACCTTGAGTTGCTGCAGGGATTGGTCGCTGCTTGCTTGCACAGTCAAATCGTTCTGGAGGAGGCGCTGGCGGGTGGAGCGACGCACACCAAAGAGCTCAGCTTGTTGCTTTGTCTTCAATCGTACTGCAGACGTGGTGGAATCAGCCTCGGTTACCAGTGTTCCACCAGTTGTAAATGAGGCGTTGGTTTGGTGGACGGAGTTTTCCGATTGTCCTTGTTCGAATGTCTACATTAGAGGTCATGAAAAGAAAGTTCAGTTGAATGATTAGTAACTTTACAGAGAAAAGTCAAGAAAAAGTGACATACTGCTGCAGCTTTGTAAACCAGAGGATAATGGTACAGAATCGATAGCGTTTTCGGTTGCAACCAAATCAACCGGCATCTCCTACGTGATAAACACACAATTTTACCGACCTGTAACACGTGCAAAACGGGGCGATATTAGGCACTAAGTGCAAGTGGGCTGAGATGTGCGCGACGATCAAGAAACACTGAAGTACAGAGGATGTAAGTCACCTTCAGCGGGGTCACCAGGATGACAAACACCATGGAGAAAAGAATCGGATGCAGATAAAACGCAAAAATCACCGGAGTAATTAGCCAATGGTTAGAGACAAGAACTAGGTCTGATGACATCTTGACAGCGCCAGATCAGACAGGGCAGTTGAACAAAGAGATGGCCGACGTCGAGGCTCCTCGGAAATAAGGCAGCACACCTCAACCGAGAACCCGTACTTCAGTTAGCTTGTTGTGCGCATTAGCCATATCATCGACAAACCATCCAGAAGCGAAAGGTCTGCAATAGTCTATGGACGCGTATGACTTGAGTTCGTCAAAGCGGTCAAGCGGTGTTAGCACTACACGGACAGATGCACAAGTCGTGGACGAAGCTTCATGTACCACGGTTGTGATCGATCAGCCAAAGTCGTTTGGACAATGGTTTCACGGAATCTTTCACCGGGTCGAGTGCCTTGTTCTACGGACGGGCGATGGTAGCATCACAATCTCGCCACAATATCAAGCAATGTGATGTGCATTTTGCTTATAACTAACTTACAGCACAGTAGATGCTCCGTTTCAGAAGAAATGTGTTCCGAGCACATTGACAGATTTAAAAGTCTGGGAGTGCAACTAACCAGGTGGAAGTTTCGAAGCTACACAGTTTACGGTTCAAATCGAAGCTGCGATAATCGGATCTCTTTAGATCACTTCGCAAGAATGATCCGCAGGCCACCTCGTGGAAGTGTGAACGGATAAAACGGAAAAACAAACATTGCCGCTCCGTGGTTGAGCGAAAAGGCTTCACCGATTTGGAGTAATATTTAGAACTGCAAGAAGCCCAATCCCAACGCAAAAGGCACCTGAGATTCTTTCACCGTTCCGAAATAAGGCGATATGTCATTATGCATCACAGGTACCGCTAGACCGGACAGTTACGAATAGAAACCAGGCAGATGTGATGAATTCGAAACACTGAGTCCTCTTATCCTTCCCATTAATGTAGCGCAATGTCGCAATCTAAACTGCCCTCTTCAGTTGCAACGCAACACACGCAAGAAACAAGCGGAGTTCATCATCATCATCAGCAACAGCAGTATGTCAGCCATTTGAACTGATGCTTCGCTGCCATACAACCAAGATGACGTATGAAATAAAGAATAAGAAGACGGAGAGAAGGGGAACTAACCTGAAAAACTTAATGCCCAAAACAAACATTCAGGGTCAAGGCGACTACACCTTGTGTAGACAACATACCGTCAAAAACAGCTGGCCATCACGCAAAGATAAGGCGGTATCGGCGAGACAGCTTCCTTCCGACTTTCACTGTCCCGCGTCATAATCGGCCATTACCCCGCAGATAACTCAGTAACAAACACACGGGCAGTAACGTGTAAGACCAATTCAGTCTTGGGAAAGTGGAGAAGTGGATTGGTTTGCCAGGTCACGTAAGGACTGTACGTGCCTGAGTCAAGGTTTGCTGTGGCACCGGACCAAGGGAAGGAACATGTGACCAGATGGACGAGTGACTAACCGAGCCAATCGTACAATCCACTCCGAAAGTCAGCAACGCGGCTCGATGCAATTTTAGACAGAATGTACGTTGCGAGCAAGCGTAAACCAATGGAAATAGAGCCAGCGACATAAGGCAAATAACAAAGGTGGGCCAATGGAGCGGATTCACTTAATTAGTGTATATACCCTATAAATATCTGCGCGTAATCTTACTAAACGACTCCATGGTCGCGGCCCAGTCTTGTTGATTTATATAGGGCAACTCGATAACCCCCAGTCAGATTGCCGTTCAAGGTAAGCACATGGCTCGTGACCCAGTATAAAGATTGCCTCCGGCGTACAAATTCATTTGTTCATGCACACAGCCAGACAATTCATCTCATGGTCATAACGTAAGTGTAGTGCGTAGCCTGGGGAATATTTACAACCTTGTGTATATGCTTGGTCTCAGTGTTAAAAAAGATGTGCAACGGAAATTTCCGAGCGAAGCAAATAAAATCCCCATAAGTGGATTCATGTGTCCGAAAAATAACGTGGGACTTAGTAAAACAGAAAGGCATATAGGATCGTAACAACTGGGATAATACTACAATGGCGCTGGAAGTCCAGTCATATGGATTGACACGAGGTTGCTTGAGAGCACGGAAAATAGAACTTACCCCATTCGAGTTCTGATTGGCTTGGAGGGATGGATGTTTGCGATTCGGTGAGATGCATTCAGTATCCACTGAACTGGCTTCGCTTGTATCTGCTTCAAGCATACCTGCAGCATTTGATCCGTTCATCAATCGAACACGAATCCGAGCATTCTTGTAGCTGTTGCGGTGGTTTAGCAATTGCGTGTAGCAGATCGAACAGATGGACTCGAATTGAGCGGGATGAAACTGCCACTCGGTCCCATTGAAGGACAAATATGTTGGTGGATGGGGAGGTTTCGAATGAGACCACAAATCAGAATCGCTGCTATCAGAGTCCGACTCATTTGAAGACCGCGATGTGGCTTCATCTCCGGTGGTACGAGGATAGGAGTTGGATAGAATATCCCACTCAGAGAAAGACAATGGGAATAGAATCGATTCCGAGAGCAATTCCTGCCATGGCATTGTAAGCTGGGAACGAGAACCAAAGATATGTGGGTGAACAGAGCGAAAGAAACAAATTGGTTACGCCGCATACAGACAGTGTGAAGCATACCCGGTCGTGTTCGCAGAGAACTCCGGATCCATTCAAGCCGGACGGGAGATGTCTTGGGTGAGTTTCGGGCGAAGGATTTCGAATAAATCTCCGCCAACTGTGAATAAATTTTGACGGCACGAGATAGACATCTCTGTTGGAGTTGTCCGATTCCCCAGAGGGAGATAAGCAATTTGGGCCGACGGTCAGGGTTCCGGCAGAGTCCGACGCAGAGCTTGCATGGGAAAATGGAGAGCAACCGATAAGAGTTTGGTTGAAGCAACGCAAAAATGATTCGTAGCATGAAATGGGAGTAGAATGGTCGGTCTGTATACGGAAAGATTTATCTCAAATGGATACAACAGCAAAACACATAGCAACGTCTGGGAAATGCTACCCAAGATAGCGATCAGCAATGATTCAGCGGGATTCGTTGGCATATAACCATCAATAAGACGCAACGTTTGCCGAGAATACACAATTTTTAGGCGATCAAGGTGTCGTTGATCTCGTTGGGCTGACGCATGTGGCTATTATAATAATAATAGGAGTGATAATAACATTACAGCAAATAAAGTAAAATGAAGAAGACTGCACAAACACCTGAGTGATTAGGACTCATGACCAACGGGATGAATGTATCGGTGAACTTGACGCTGTCACTGCAATATATCCGACAATGCCTAAAGTGATCGTCCTGGAGCTACACGAATAACCCGTCTCCATGTGACTACATTTCTTCAAAGTATTCAACAGAAATGCCTGAAGCGCCAAGAAATCCTATGATTTTTAGCAGCGCGTGTGGTGGTAACCTTGATGGCGCGAACACCATTGATGAGAGGGCCACGATTAGCTGTCGGCAAGTTCGATCGACTGTTCGGTGAACAAGAGAACCGATGATGTGTAAGCGTAATAAGGTACAGCACTAAGAATGCACTGCGCGGCAATCTCAATCTAAGCCAAAATTTATTTCGAAGCAAACATTGGTGATTTCGGAGACTGAGGTGGACGCCTTTGATGAATAGCGAGAATAGAGACGGATTGTAAGGTGAAAGATGCATATGTCCCGCAAAAGGAATGACGTGAAAAGTGCAGTTAAATCAAAGATGAATCAGGTGAGTGGAATATCTGCCGGCTTCTTTCACATAAAGCACGACCCCCACTCAGATTGCCGTTCAACGCAGGCACATAACTTGTGACCCAGCATAAATATTGCTCCGAGCGTACAAATTCAGTTTGTACGCGTTCGCATTGATACTATCTATGAAACCCGACAGTTTACAGGACGGATGTAAGAACGTGTTTCTCGGCAATACTGTTTAGCAAGTGTGAAAAACAAGGGAGCCAAGATAGAAAGGAAACGTACTCAGGGCCGGACTTCTAACATTAAAGGATGTGGTAATGTACATAAGGCAGAAAAGTGGCATCCATAAACGGGTCCCACTATGAGGTCGAAAGTCAAAATCCGGTCCACATGAGACACATCTGTGTGATAAATTCAGCTACTACGACTCGCATCGCCAGGGTAACAACTCGTTCCAAAATGAGAATAACGATGCTGGGAAGGGAAAAGTGTCGTCGTCGGGGCCGCCAGTCGCTGATTTCTTCATCGCGAAAGAGGAACGTGGCTCTATCCGAAACCTTAACACACCTTTATATTTTATCGAGTGCGACTCTAACATCGATCACCGGACAAGTTGAAAAGTCGCAACCATCAGTGAATCTCACGTGAGTCAGGGAACTTACGTTGGGTGTTCACTCCGGTAACAAAAAGTGTAAAATGGATCGGGATGAAATATTGACAGTTAGGAGTTGGAAAACGAGTGCAGGAGAGTGAAAGTTCGCTACTGCGACTTGCCCGATGTCCCAAATCGATGAGGTGGCACATTAGGAGGCCAAAATTCCCGAAGACAACACATACCACCTGACTATGTTTCTCGACCAATTCCTTAAGGTCAGTTCGTCCAATGATCGTCGTGTGGTATAACCCAGCTAGACTCAGCGGTAACATACAATGAACATCGAGGAAAGCGGCCGAGGAATCGAATTCCAATTTCACGATCAAGCTCGGTGAAGAAATCCGGTCGAAAGTGCACGAAGTATAGAGGAATTCGTAGGCGGTGGAAAACAGTTTACCAGTTATGAAATCATCAGCAGACGTCTAACAAAGGCGTAAAAGGTTGTCTCTGACATTGAAAGAACTGATCGGTTGCTTGGAGATTTGAAGCTTGATCGCTACTCGCAACACCGAGGAGATTGCCAAGGGTACCATGACTTTTTAATGTCATGTCACTTACGAGGCTAGTGGGATGTAATCCGAGTGGTTAAGGAAAGGGCTCATTGCATTTCGGTACGAATGGTGTCACGGCTGCGCACTAAGTACGTAAGGATGCTGACTACTCTGATCACCGACGCCTTGGAAAACCGAATGAGTGACGTCTAATTTCGGTGTCCCCCGGTAGTGTCTGACAAAATTGTATCGCCTACCGTGGTTCGGGCATGTGCCCTAAAGCCTTCAAGTCGACTACTTCGGCGCGCGTGTTGTTGGCAACAGTGCGCCTGAATGAGTAAAACCCTGAAGTGCACCGGTATGAAAAAATCTCATCAAAAAGCCGTCATACTGGTGTCCCTCACCTTCCCTTATAGATACCTTTGGGAACAGCCATTTCGGATATGGCGTTTTGTATTTGTCCCCTTGCTTATGGCTACCGGCAACAACAACAACAACTGGCGATTTGAGTACGTAACTAGGATCCTTACATTATTATTATAACTAGAATTATTATTGGAGGGTCAATTTGAAGTACATGTTGTGTGGATGGATTGCGACGCGCAATCTCAAAGTGGATCGCGATTCCAAATGAAATGAACCTTGGTCATTCGAGCACTAGGACCATAGCTGATAAAGCAGAAGCAAACTGGGAGTTGTCCACCCGAAAACACTGCACTGCATGACGTGTTTCGAGGTTATTTCCTCTCATCAGATAGAGATAGCAGGCATCGAACTCGGGACCATTGGGATCTTAGTGGTGACCGCTACCCCTAAGCCATAGGCTCACCATACTGAAGACATTTTAGTAGACTGGATCATGCATCGAGATTCATCGCACTTAGGTGCACAGATCTTAGTTGATACATGGAAATGAACATACTTACTGTTGTGGCTTGGAGTACCGATGTGCGAATCTGGATTGTGACACGCAATCTCAACTGGGGTTATGACTTATTTCGAAACAAACTACTGCCATTTTGATCACTAGGGACACATCCGAGGTGGAAACGTGCGGTTTTGTTCTCTCTCCCAACGCTGCATACACTTCGTATACCCGCTGACGGCATACCGAACACATGGCATGAAATTGACGACGACGACGACGACAACAGCAGCAGCAACAACAACAACAACAACAACGACAACTGATGTGGACGGTGGCGTTTCTGCACTGGACTCCTGAGGGATAGGCCGCATTAGCCGCTAAAGAACCTGTCCGATGGAGGTTCGCCCCTTGCTGTTAACCTATGCGGAAAATCTGCCATGGCGTGTTATTCGTCCAATTATTTGCTTCACTATGCGAGTCACAGATAATGGATCCATTACATTTTATCGTTCGAATCACAGCTAGTGGCACGGGAAAATGTACGTCAGTTGTTGTAAATCCGATGTGACGTGATAGATCACAAGGAAATTCCCGCTCAACATTGCGGATAAACAACCCCAGACCTTCACCTGCGCCATAGAGCAGTGAGTGACAGATAACTGGCTGAACAGCCAAGTGTGGTTCCCCAAAACCAGCGTCCCCAACGTAGGGTAGATAGTTTTTAGAGCGGAGTCAAGAACCAACTACCTGGACCAACAACCACTGCACCACTGCCGAAGTCCGGTTGCGTGTCTTCTTATCAACAAGTTGTTCAAGAGAGACTTCTATCGGTGAGGTGCCTTCAGACTGGCGACTGCCAACTGTCGTGCTCATCTACAAAAAGACCCAACATCCATAGAAGATCGACTATGGTGGATTTCCTTGATTTGAATGCGGCCTTCGACTTTGTTTATCGAATCAGCCTGTGGCACTGTCTATCCATGAAGCGCATGCCACGAAAACTCTTGCGCATTCTAAAGTCCCTACCGTGATACTGAAGCTGGTCAACGGAAAGCTGTCTTCTGAGTTGCCCACGTCAAGAAGAGTTCACCAGGGCTGGAGTATACTTCATCTCTTCAACTTTGTGGTCGAAATGACTATGAATGATTCGGCCGCTTCGGACACTCCCAGAGCCGTAGTTTTGCCAAATGACCAACGAAAAAACCTTGAGTATGTGGATGACACAGCTCACCTTGGGTAGGACACAGTGGTTAGGTAAGCACCACTGAAAACATGGACGCGTAACGCTGCAAGCTTCGGCATATGCTGTGCACCTCCAGGATGCGAAGTACTGTTACGGCAGTGGACCGACACGAGACCAGTAATAGCTATCAGCGAATAGCCACTCGAAGCGGTGGATCGGTTCGTGTACATTAGTAACTGTGCCACCTCTGGTGGTCACATCCCTGAGGAAGTTACTTCGCGTATCAGCAAGGACTGCGCGGGTTTCCAGAGGCTCAACCATTTACGGAGACGGCGGGATAACATTCTGTCAATAAAAGTCCGGTTGCATAACGTTGCGGTAAAGCCGGTGTTACTGTATAGATCAGAGACCTGACCGGTTCGCACTTCAGATACTAGAACATTAGCTGTGTTTGAACACCGGTGCTTGCTTACACCTAGTGGGAACACCGGTTGAGCAATGCTGAGGTCCGCCAGTTGGTTTCTGGCAAGAAGCCTTCTGGTGCTCTACTCGAGTATTTGCTTCCGTTGGCCAGACTATGTCCTCCGTATGGCCTTTGACGAGCTTCCTCGGGGTGCATTATATACACCGTCGCTGCAATAAGTTGGGCGAAATCGTGAGGTGGCAGGTCGACGATGTGGCATAAATGCATGGAGACACTGGCTGAGACTTGGTCAGGATGGCGCGTGACGTCTTCGTGGATGGGGCCATTGGGATGATGAACACCAGCGATTGGAGATCATCGGACATAGTGAAGCCAAGGAGTCAGTGGCACTCCTGCAGTTACTTTCTTCAATGTAGATGATTATTTTCATTTCATCCCGGGTAGTTTAATGCACTTCCGTTTCGATTCCTTACTTTACTCCGAATCTCTCGAAAACCTGCACATCGTGTGTGTTGCTTGCCAGTAATGTGATGCATTAAACGAAACCTAGTGATAGCCATTGGGAAACAGATGGAATAATATGGTCAGAGTGGTGTGTGTCGATTCCAGGATGACAGTCCTATCAGACACGGTGTACTCGCGGAAGTAGAGACCACCATGCACCAATTCAGGTAGGTACCGGTTTTCCTGTCCACCGTAACACGAGTTGCCTCATTTCGCGAAGACATTTTGCCTACAATATTATTTCTAGATCAATAAGCCTTTGCTGTTTTCTTTCGTTAAGGTGGCGGCACAAAGCGTGGTAAATGATTCAGCGAACTGTGGTTCCAGTACCACAGGTGGAGTCACGAAAACAGAATGTATGAAATAAAACGACAAAGGAAAACAAATGCCACAGTAAACTACGTATGTCACTACTCACGTGAATAACGAGAATCGGGAGTAAACTGTATGTCTTCCTACCCGGTACACCATAGAAACAGAACTTACGTGCAATCCAAGGTACGCTTCCGAGACATGGGAAATAAAGAAGGGATGGAATTGGTGTGCATTTGGCCATCAGAACCGAAAGTTGTATTGGAAATATAGGGGAAAATGCGCCGGGATGTAGGTAAGAGAAGTCCGGAGAGTTGCACACGTTCGCAAGCCGCTCTACGAACTAGGCCTTCCTCGTATTGCTCGCATGCTTCGCATTTGGACTCTTGAGAGTCTGTTGCGGATACAGGAAAAGTGGGGATATTGGCACCGGGAAACAGGTCGACAAGACGACACCACAATGGGGCAGGAAGATGACGCAGGTGTCTGGAACCAGATCGCAGTTTAGCATGGGGACAAAGTGTGTCGGAGTTGAAAGTGGTGCGTGGGCTACATGGATTCCCACTCGATCCCGAGTACAGGTTGTTCACGTAAGCACGCGACAGAATGCGCCACTGTCGCAGCGAACGTTTCCCGATCCAGTAGAAAGCTGGGTCAAGATGTGCTTTGGGATCATTCGGTAAAACCTATAAAAAGAAATTAGATGGGGCGTTAGATACACCGGAAGATGATAGTGAGTCTCCAATACAAGCAGGCAAATGCTCAACAGTGAAAAATCCAGAAAAACAACTTCTGAAGCAATTTTCATTCGATCTCCGTGCAGGAAAAGACTGCATGTAGTGGATGCACCGATGTATCAGGTGGATGGCTTGGTAGCTAACGCTGTAATAATGATAATGTGTCAGCTGTACGCCGTAACGGTGCTTCGCTGCCGCGCGACCAGCACCAGTAACCCGCAAGGATGCCCGCCCTTACGTGGATTCGAACCGGTAACCTTATGATTGCAAGCCAGGAGTGAGACCATTCGGTTATCACTGTAACTCTTGCGCAATCAGAAAGACATTTGTTCCCGTCAGAATGGTGGTAGCTTCTCTCGTTGTGAATCGTTATCAAGTGTTTGGATGATGCAGAACGGCAGACCAAAAAGGAATGGGAAACTCATAGTCGCATTTTCCCGCAATACAGCAGACATAACCACTGTGAGTCATTCAGACTCACGAAAGCACTGGTCGCAATAGTAAACGTTGCCTGAGCATGAGTCAAGGACGTATAAAACAGACATGAAATGAGTTGTTACGTCGAGTACGACTAGTCAAGAAGCATAAGATGGACCCAACCAGAGAGAGCAGAGTTAGTCTGATGACAACTAATCATTACCAGAACGCACAACTTTCGATATCAAACAGAAAGTCCGTGAAATAGGCCCGGTAGAAAACGGTCAAGCTTGGGCACTGGGAAACACATTTCAACAGGCTCGACATGATGAAGAGGCTAAGTCGGTGTTGAACGTCGTCACTTGCACTTGTCGTCAGATTTTTCACATCTCCAATGGATTTGTGCTTGTTGTTTTGTTTTGCCTTCCCGTAACACTTATGATAATCCGTCTCATTACCATGGAGGCATAATTGTACTCAGCTAGAACCACCACTAAACTGGACGGAAACAATGAAGACAACAATGTACTACAGGGTACTATTTAAAACGGTCCTTCGACCCTACCAAGGGTCCTGTGGCTAGACTTTAATGCGTCTTCAGTTGGAAGGCAAGATTTTTACGAACGATTACCGGACCTCACGGAAATGTCTAAATGCACATGTTTCAAAGAACAGTTTTGTGACACGCTGCAACCCTAGAACCTTAGTTTCAACTAATTGATTTAACGAAGTAAAATAACAGCCAGCGGTGAACCAAACGTTCTCCGAGTCATCACGAAGGTGTGGAGCTATCTGGCGGCAGTAGAATCCCTTGAGTGAAGCCGCTAGTGTGCTCGATTGAACTTTGTGATATTATCATCCCGGAAAGTTTGATTCTTCGTGAAACATTGCGGTAGAAAACGGAATACACAACAATTGTGCCAGGTCGAATATTTTAAATGCAGAATCGTGGCGCGATTAACTGCGTTAAGCTAAGGACACCAATAAGTTCCAAAGATCGGTGAAGCAGTTACTAGGAAGTCAGGTGTGTTAAACTGTACCGAAATATAGTGTGCAGAACCAGTTGGGAAATCTTCTAAACCGCAAAAAACTACAAGAGGGCATTTTGCCCCCAGGGTTCCCCGATGATCGAACTGACCGAGGTTCACTTAAAAGTGAATAGCTATCCACAATGAGACTGCCCGCCGCAGTCCATTCACACAACGAGTGTGGTAGAGACTGTAGTCAGGGGGCATGCATTTGAACGACAGGGACAATGATTCTGCGTGGATGTCTAACAGATGGGCACGACTGCGATTGTTATTGGAACTCACGCATTTCCACAAAACCATCCTAGCCTACCAACTATGTCTAAGTTTTACTCTGTGTTCCACTTACTGCTAAGCAACAAGTTAATTTATTGTGCTAACTCTCCCCTTGCTCAAGATTCATGCCTCACTGCCGGTGAATAGTGAAATAAATACCCGGATGTGGACCCTCTGCCTTTGGCTGAGTTAGCCGAAGAATTCCCGCTGAAGATGGGATTTCTCTGCTTCGGATCCGTGGCACAGTTGTGCCGACTTGCATCTCGCCTCACGCGGATTAACTCGGGCGGGTGGTAGTTTTTTTATTGCCCATTAATTGCGGGTAAGATTCGTGAGCTGTAATCATTTGGAATCGCATTCAGTCAGTTCGCGCTTGTGTGAAGAGTATGACGCCACTGAGTGGTTTGCTCGAGTAGAAACGGTATTACAAGCGGACATGGATCAACCATTCACCATGGCTGCTTTGATGCATGCAAGGCACACGTTTCGTAACGGACTGAGAAACGAAGGATTTAGAAGGCTATTCAAAATAAAATAAAGCAATTTCTCATGGGAGGTAAAACAGACCATTGAACAGGACCTGTAGACAAGCTGTAAGCAAGGTTCATCAAACTAGAGAACAAATGTGAATTAGAAAAGGCCAAAATCAATGCAACGAAAAGCGTCATTGTGTCCTAGAAAGGAAAACCAAATCGTGTGGATGGTAGTTTAGTATCACTCACATGTGTCTCCGGTTGACAACCGTTCTTTGACTCGTGTCCAGCTTCATCCCGATGGGCAACGGGAGTTGGCGCGGGTTTTGACCGAGTGAATCGGTCCAAATCCTTGGATAGCGAGCGGATCGACTGTTCCAAACGCAGCAATGCGACCTTCAGGCAAACACATTCTCGGCAAGGTTGAAATCTGGCAGGACTGTATGCAAATAGAAAATGCATACACGAACGCTGTGGATGAAACACGCATGGTAACATTGCGCGAGCGCGAAGGAATGTGAGTGATCAGTCTATCAGAGGATACAATAGCGAAATTACGCCATAGAGATTAAGAAGGCAATCGAATGAGCGTCTGCACAGATGCAACATGGGTGGTGGGAGCACCGGATTGTAGCACGATGTCAGAGAAAACAGGCGAACAAAATTATTTGTGGAAACAAATACTGGGACAGTACAAGACCCATGTAGGCAAGAATGAACATGAATGGGTAACACAGGCATTCCGACACAGTTAAACCTATTTTATTAATGAGTAGTGGGGATTTTGGTATAATTCAGAGGTAATTCATCACAGTTCACTCTCAGTCAGCAGCTTTTGACAATGCTGTTTCGACCTTCTGGGTCTCGTCAGTAATGCGCCTCCTTCGGACCCCTGCCGCGTCCCGATCCCATGACTTCAAGGCCAGCATCTAGTGCCACTTAAATATGGGTGATGGCCGCAGACCAGCATGATTGACAATTGCCCATGATAGAGCCCGGCTCATCTTCAACTGCTATGCTAGTTACGAACTGTGCAGAGGACACCAGCTAGCTCCACGAGCTAGGACTTTCCGCATAGCGAATGTTTACAACACAGCAGTTAGAAGCTATACGGATGGATTTAAGATAACCAATGAGTAGCGGGGATTTGGGTATTATTCATAGGTAATTCATCACAGTTCACTATGGGTCAGCAAATTTTGGTCAGCCTGAAAAAGCACCAGACACGGGTGTTTCGACCTTCTGGGTCCCGTCAGTAGTACGCCTTCTTCGGACTCCTGTCGGGTTCCAACCCCATGATTTATGGATGCCAGTAGCATGTGCCAATAAGCCGAATCCGCGTAGGGGTGGGCGTCCTCGCGGTATACTCAGCCCGCGCGCGACTGGTGGTGGTCGCGCGGCAGCGAAGCGCCGTTACGGCGTACAGTTGACACATTATTTATTATTATTATTATTTATTATCTTCTCCAAGTTCGATGGCTTGCCATACGCAAATTCCAAGAAATTTCAGTCCATCAGTGTGATGTTCTGCATTCTTTTTATTGGTACACCACACACCGCCAGCTAGTCACATACGATGCTTCCGGCACAGATTTACGATGTTGGTCAGTTTTCGGAAATACGTACCCAGGCTTCTCATAAACTAAACCGATTATGCTGTATGCTTAGTATACAAGAACTTATAACTCACTCTTGTATTAGCTACAAGTCATTACTTTTTTTCAAATTCTCACTATGCTTCACATTTCCATATGTTTGAGTTTTAGTTCACCGATATATAGTAATCTCTTCCCCTTTACGGTTTTAATAACCGCAATTCGCTCTGATGTTCTGAATGGATGGTTAGGACCAACGCTAGAGACGCATTTTCGGAGGAAATACCTGGTTGTTTTGTGTCCGAGAGTAAATTGAAACGAAGTTTCTCCATATTGGAGGACAACCAGTGTAGACTAATATCTCTAAATAAAAGCTGGGCAAAATGACCGTACCAGGTTGGTTGGATCGTGTCTCGCTTACTATAATTAGCAGAATTAGAAAGGAGAGCTACCTGAGAAAATGTAGAAGACGGGAGTGTAGAGTACAAAACTTGCAGAACATTAAAAAAGGAACAGCCGTTTCATTTGACAAATTAAGCAGTGCTCGTTGTGCGCTAAAATTTGCGGGAATGATCAAACTGAGCGGATAAACCCGATACCTGCTATACTAGCTGAACTACAATCCGCAGATGTATGTGTGATCCAGGTGCGGACAAGTGTGGGTTCGCTCGTAGGTTGGGACTTGTGTAAATCAGCGTATCCCTAGCTGAGGGAACTATGGTATCCAGTGAATAGAATTGGTGACAAGCAGTGAATGACTGCCGCGTTGATTTGACAGTCGTACAGTAAACGAATCGTCAACGAGTGGCGATGCACTGGCGGTGAGTAGGGAGATAAAAGTGACAAGACGTGCACAAACGAACGGGAAACATTGGAACCCAATAACACAAAGATCCTCATGCGCTGGAGCGAAACGACACTGGAGAAAATGAAGCGTAGCGTGAGATTGTGGACAAACGATAAGAACGTGACAGAATAGCCAAACTTACACGCAAGATGAGTCGGGTGTTGACGAGTCCGGGTTTTGTTGGTCACAATGCAAGTGTTCCGCCAAACCGGTGGCGTTTAGAAGACCAGTGGTTGAGACAGCTCGATAAAGCGAAACAGGCAAATCGATCGGGACTCGACCATGTGGGCAAATGGAAAACGTTGAGTAAGGGGTTTTGCTGAATGGATCAACAATACTTGTCTGTTGCTGTTGGGCGTGCGCACGAGGCAAGGGAGCGAAAGAGTCCTTGAAGTTGGACAGACAAGGGGCGCCGCCTTCCGGTTGATCCAACCAGTCTGCAAGCCACGAGGTAGGGACCAAAGAGAAGGGCTCCAACGACCGCTCGGAGGTGTCGTTGTACTGTGGAACAGGTGGCCACAACGAAGTAAGCAAACTGCGTAAGCACGAAAGTTTGTTAACCTAAAATAAAGATTAAAAGTAATGCAGAGAAGTATCAAGGTGGAAATAAAAAAAGAAATATTCTGATTTGTTTCGACAATGGACCTGCGCGATGATGGCAAACAATACAGAGTACGAATAGGGGGGGGGAGAAAAGCACACATACATCGTTGTTAAAGTGAGATCAGGGTAAAGAAATGCGGTGTCTCCAGCCAAACTGACCAACACCGTCAGGATAGAACAAAACGAATCGAAGTACAAAAAGTTAAGAGCATAGCAGAAAAATGTACATGCTAATGGTAAGAGTTGAAGGGAAAGATGTCGCGAAAGACTAGGATCGATGGACCAAAGTAATCACTCTTAGTAACAAGAGATTAAGTGGGATTAGCTATGGAGAGTTAAAACACATCAAGTATGGATCACCGTTGTAAGTGATTCGGACTCCCCAGAATAAGGACGACACCTGGTATTGTGGCTAAGTATTTCCAGGAGTTGTTTCAGTACACTATGTCATGCGAAAGTCCAACTGTTCCGCAACTAAACTTACCTCGTTGGCTGTATTGGGTTAGAGAATTTCTTACCAATGTGAATTCGTGCGGTCAAATGTGACGGAAACTGATAGTTCGGACGAGTGGAACATGGCAAAGCTAATAGAAAATCAAACAAAGAAAGCCCATACGGACCTACTAAGATTACACCAGTTAGATGGATAGAGACAAAATAGCGCGATAAAGCGGGATCCAGGTTAACGTGGATCTAGACAGGGTATGCGTCCGCTGGACCGAGCACGACCAATGAAGAGCGTGTGTGGATGCGATGACGATCGATAGACAGTGAAAAGCTGCCAAAACGGAGTAGCGCTTCGAATGTAGTTGTAGCATAAATGATCATACGATCATTGAATGATAGATCTTCGATCGCTACCCGGACATTAACTGTCGGATGGACAGATAGCGCACAAGATGCAGGGTGCTGCAGATGGGCTGTAAATGATTTGCGTCGCACCGCCCATAACACAAGATTTAACAAAGTGAACAGATTTTGAGCTGCTCTCTCCAAACCCTGCACGCCACGATCGGGTTTTGGAGTACCCACCGCGAGTCTGGATTGTGACACGCAATCTCGCTTGAGGCTACAGTTTGCTTTGAAGCAAACTTATGCCGTACCGATCACTGGGACCGCATCCAAAGTGGTTTCGAACATGTAAACATTGCGTCAAGCGCTGCTGTGGAGTCCTGGTCTAGTGAACAAGATAAAAGCCATCAACCCCTGTGTGGAGTTCCCGTCTCAGATGAAGCTACCCCTACCTGGCGAGTTCAAATCAGGGCGAAAACAGTGGGTCGTGGAGTGCAGGAATGGGAGAGCGCAACCTCGAAACCCTCCACTTCCGATGCGATACCAGTGATCGAAATGGCATAGGTTTGTTTCAAAGCAAACTGTAGACTCAATCGGGATTGCACGTCGCAATACAGACACATGTCATATACTCAAAGACACAATAATGAAGATTTGACATAAATTGGAAGCAGTAAGTCTGCCAGGCATGCGGAGCACGACCACCGTACTTTAACATGAACATCATTGATGGGAACATGTGTGGAAGACGTACACGGAGCCATGGCTTGGTCACCGCCCATTCTAAAGATGAATGACTCTTTTAACCAGGCACCGTCAATCAGACTGCGAACCGCAACGCCAATAATCGAGGTGACGGCATCGGTGAACAGTGATAAAGACAAACACATGTCGGAGTAGATTGCAGACAGATGCAAGGAATGCGATCGGGTCAGCATTGGCGCACCACTGCGTATAGCGCAAGGCTATCGACAAATAACAACTGACAAGCGGTACTCCCACCGATAGGCACTGGCAAGGTCTCGCTGACACCAGCGATAAACGGCAAGCGGTAAGCCTTTGATGCACGGACACAACCATCAGGCCGATGTGCCGCCAGCTTCGTAGCTAAACGGAACTTTGGAACGCCAAAGACAATGTTGAACATAGGATCAGAAGAGGGCACTTGCCTTGTAAGTTAGACGGACTATGAAAAATGCTCGGATTTTTACATCAGCGGGCTGGAAAACAACTTAGTTAGCATCTTTCATACATGTAGGTGCCCCGACAGGGCGTAGAAACAAGTGTGATCCGGAGAAGGAGAATGAAAGTAAATGCAGTTGCGCCCTCCGTTATGAGACATACTAATCAAATTCCCTAATTTACATACTCGGGCAAGTTATCCCCGAGTATCAAGAAAGAATGTGCTGATGTCTGGATTCAAGCATTTACCGAATTGTGTCCGATATGCGTTCTCAAACAAGATGATAGCAACACCGTAAGTCTTCACTTCAAATGAGACCTGGTGATCATACCAGATGAAGTTTATCCCGATGTAAACCAAATAGTCCCAAATAGGACTGAGAGTTACAAATCAAACACATGGTGGGCACTCGAAAATCCGACGAACTGCCACAGTGCAGTTAATGACCCAAGGCGTACATTGCAATGCCCCGGAAGCACACTGGAAAAACTAAGTCTGAAAGAATGACAACCCGAAAGCAGGTGGGGCCTAACGTAGTTTGAAGTTCACACCACATGCAGTGACCAGCCCACAATATATTCATTACTGCCATCACGAGACAAGAAAATAAACTCACATGAGTCCAGTCTGGACGCCAGTGACAACTCCAGAAGAGTCAACTGTTTTGATTCTGCCATCATTGGGACCGCGGCCAAAGTGGGGAGTTTCGGGGATGCTTTCACCCAACAATACACTCGTCGAACTCGATCGGTCAGCGACCAAGGCGTCAGTAGTCAACCCCTATGCGCCGGATTCCATGCTCAGCTGACGAGTCCAAATCAGGACGAAACCGGTCGTGGAGTGGTGTTAAAAGTGAGCAGCTTCGAAACTCCCCACTACGGATACGGTCTAAGTGTTCGGAGTCGCAAAGACCGACTTCAAAGTCAACCGAGGCCACAATTTAGATTATGTCGCAATTCAAGTACACGTCTGTTACTCCCACCAGCCTCGAACCAGCCTTGGACGCAGATCGATCACATTGCTATTAGTTACCGCTGGAGAGGCTGCATCCAGAATTGTCGCTCGGTTTGGAGCACATGTGTGGACACCGATCATGCACTTGTATGTGCTGACGTGCGGATGCGGTTTGGTGGACGCCCACGACGACGCTGTGAGCGCATTGACACCAGCCAACTGACAAAGCCACCTGTTCGGAATGCGTATCAAAGTACGCTGACATGCAAGTTGAGCAATCGCTCACTGGAGACAATTGATGTGCACTGGTCACATGTTCGCCAGACCTTACTAGCAGCGGGCAAATCCTCATGTGGTATGTCTAATCGCCAACATGGACATTGGGTCTCTTCTCGGTCTCTGGAACTTATCGATGCTCGCCGGCAAATCCCGGCTGGAAGCGAGCACAATGAAACTCGCAGAGCTCCGGGCAAAACTCCGCACTAGCCTGAAGAGAGATCGCAAATCTTGGTGGTCTCATCGTGCGTCAGAGATGGAAGTGGCCGCTGCCCTTGGCAACCATCGTAAGTTATTCCGTCTGATACGGGAAACGGGCAGCAGGAGGCCTGGTGTTAGGGAAACTATACGTGATGAGAGTGGACAGCCTATTCACAATTTGCCAAAACGTTTAGAGCGTTGGGCTGAGCATTTTGAAAAGCAATTTAATAGGCTAGAATTGTCGATTCTTCGTCGGCCAGTGATCGCCCTGCTCCGTGGGCTGTCCCTTTGGATTTACCCTCTCGCTCAGAAGTCGAACGTGAGATCGGACTGTTGAAGTTGAACAAAGCCGCGGGAGCAGATGATTTTTCTCCAGCCCTCTTCAAATTCGGAGGCTCTGCTCTTATTGATGCTTTACATGAATTACTAGTGAAACTGCGGGAGCAGGAGACTGTCCCAACCGACTGGAGCCGCTCCGTTATTGTTCCCATCTTCAAAGGCGGCTCGCGCTCGGAATGCGGCAACCATAGAGGAATCAGCCTGATCTCCATCGCCTCCAAATTACTAGCCTGCATAATTCTCCACAGACTGACTGGCGCTCGTGAGCAGCAAGCCGGGTTTTGTCGCGGCCGTGGCTGCATCGACCACATCTTCACCTTGCGTCGGTTGTTGGAGCACCGTCACACATATCACCGGCCCACCGTAGTCGTGTTCCTCGACATCAAAGGTGCCTTCGATTCGGTTGATCGATGTGCCCTTTAGAATTGTTTACTCAGGAAAGGTGTGCCCGAGAAATATGCAAATAATATCCAAACATTATATGCGTATAGCACGGGCAGAGTAAGGGCTTACGGCAAGCTGTCGCCACCCTTCAATATCTCCAGCGGTGTGAGACAAGGATGCCCGCTGTCACCTTTCCTCTTCAACTTCGCTATTGACGAAGTCATGGAGTTTGCATTTACAGGACATGACTTGGAAGGTGTGGAGTTACTCCCAAGAGAACGACTTCTTGACTTGAAGTATGCAGACGACATTGCCCTCATCTGTGACAGCTCCCAGACGTGCCAAACCGCACTGGACAGATGAGCACTGGCTGTCATCCGCTTCGGGCTTTGCTTTGCACCATCGATGTGCAAAGCGTTCCTCCAAGATTGGCAGGGATCGCCTCCTGCGTTGACCCTTGGTGAGGACCAGCTGGAAGTCGTCCAGAAATTCAATTACCTGGGAAGTTGTATCAGCGCCCTTGGGATCGAAG